AAGCCTTAGAAAGGCAGAAAAAACAAACAAAACCAAAGCAGACTAAGAGGGCAAGAAGCAAAGATAGGTGTAGTTACGAGGCCCACTTAGTTAAATGAAAGTAGAAGGCGAGCGGGACATTTTGTCTTAAACCGCCCGGGTAGCTAGCAATAGGGTAGGAGAAACAGAAGGGAAGGCACCAACACACAAGTGTGTTGAGTGCGATTTCCTTCTGTTGCCCGAATAGCGGGTGGGATCATCATTGGCATTCAAGTAAAGCCGATTTGGGCCGGCGCGCCCCTTGTCTGAAAGACACCTGGAACCTAAAGAAAGGCCTCAAGAATCGAAAAACAACAAAAGGAGAGAAAGAACCGAAGAGCATGAAAAAACATGCAACAAAAGCACATGAACTTGCGCCCTACCTGAAGTATTGTGCTGAATCCCGCCTGTGAATACTTAGACGCATGTTTCCAAGATGGTGCAAATCCAGAGTTTGGATCACAGTGAGCCCTGCGGCATAGAATCAGTGGTATCGTGCATCGCCGCCGATCAATGAGAATCCAGAGAAGTTCAGGATTGCAGAACGGGAAATCAAGAGGATTCCCCCAGGATCTGGGTCTGTGCACATGCGGCGCCCCTTGACGGGGATCACACCACAGCCCTCTGTGGGACTGCGGCGAAAACACACTTTGATTGTTGCTCCTTGACTTGAAGAAACTGAATGGTGCACGAACCGAAAGGCAAGGAAGTCCGGAAAGTTGAAGGTGTTTAACAATTTGTTTCAGTGCACTAGCCGCTTACTGCAAGGAAACAACGCATTGGACAGCTTGTGAACAGTTTGGAAAATGCAGGTACGTGACTCCGGCGTCCCAGAGTCACGTCACATCCGATCAGCAGCGTCTTTGTTAGGCAGTGACTGCTGAAAGGACCACTGCCCCCCTGCCTCTTTTTTCTGCGTTGAGAAGCTATATGTTAGTAGCGATGCCAGGAGCCCTTAGTAGCAAAACCAGGGGCCCTAGTAGCGTTCTTTATGACTTAAAACTTAAAACCGTAGGCGCAGGTGTGGACACACACACAAAGCCGAAAGTCACCGCTCAAGGGGAGATCAGGAGAAGGATTGGGAGAAAATTGGGGCTGTCCTGCATGTTGGGTGGGTCATGGTGTGGGAAAGGGCCAAACTGAGGTGGCGATGGTGTTGGCAAAGGTGGAGGTGGGATCGTCGGAACGACGAGGGGCAGAGTAGTGGATGAGGGGCTGCGCAGGAGGTTGTGGATGTCATCCACGGGGGCGGCGGCGGCTTGACGCAGAGAGCCAGCTACGCGATTAATGGATGAGGCTACGCGATCTCGATGTTCTTCAGGAGCACGCTGAAAGGAACAGTTCTCCATGTCCACGAAGGAGCGCAACGGAATTGGAGCGTAGTGTGAAGTCGGCGCGGCAGGATTGGCCACGACCTGGAAGGGAGGAACAGTGGGAGGCGGGAGCGACTCTGATGAGCACGGAGTGCTCGCAGTTAAAATTCTGGCCTATGACTACTTAGCCGCGTGACATGTGCATGTGACTACTTAGCAGCATGTGATAATCCGTTCTGGAATTCGATCTCAGTAAGCCATGCGGCGTGTGGTCAGCATTTTCGCGCAAGACTGAGGATCGTGGAAGGGTCAAGGGAGGATCAAGTGCAAGACCGTGGATCAGGGAAGGGTCACCCTTAAGGGCATGTGCACATGCTGCGCCCCTCGCTGGGGATCACGCCACAGCCCGCAGTGGGACACACTTAGATAAAGGCTCGCAAGAGCAAAATCAGTTGGTGAAGTTCCACTTTACGCGCATTATTTGTCAATGGCGGCTGAGTCAGTTGACTTGAAGATGTTTCAACATTGTGCTTCAGTGGCAAGCGATATTAAAGAGTTAGTGCATGTACGTTTTCACCTCCCTGGCGCGCGGTATTCGTTGGCCAGGACGCGTGCCAGGGAACCCTAGCCCCCTGCCTGCTAAATGGAAATTGAAAATTTGAGTGAGATAAAGTTGAGATAAAATGAACTATGTTGCACTGGTCGCTGTCCTTTGGTACAAGTCTAGACACACACACGAGGTCAATAATGCAGTCTCCCTCGGCGTGCATAACCGACATCGCGATCCCTTAGCTCCAAAACCATATGGACAACCCTACACACGATGTCAATTTCTAAGAACCCTGAATTGCACTCCCCAAGCTAAAGTTTAAGCTATATAGCGGCTAATCTTCTAGTCCACCCAAGCCAGTTGCCCACAAACATTTTTGTTCACCTTTGAAAGCCCCCCGGTAAAAAAAAAGTCTGGAGGCCATGCTCAAACCAACCATTCGTCGCCGCAATCCCCTTTGCATGAAAGTCTCTTCATTCTTGGAACTTTCAAAGATATGTGACTGCATTTTTGAGTCCAAAAGTTAAACTATAACAAGTAAGATGCCTAGCTTCTCCACCCGAAGGATCATCTTCGTGACCGGTAGGTTGGATGTTTGCCGTAAAACAATGTGCCCAGCAACCTACAATTCCAGGTCACAACGAAAAGAATTGAGAATCAGGAGTCCGTATAAATCCTTCGCAACCAGATGGCCCTGGGTGGATGCCTTGTGAAAAGTCTGCGTTGAAAAAAATGCACAGCGTGAGGGTAGTGAGTCGTGAGTAGTACTCCCTGCGTCAAGAAAGTTTCAGTCGCAACTTTGATGCGGAGGAGGCTTGCGGATCTTTTGGCTCTTTGTCCGATCTCTTCTCCGCATTCTCTCGCGATCGCTTCGGAGATGTTGCTGTGCTGTGTAAGCAGGCCAGGCGGTGTTGTTTGTGCCCCAAATCAGAAGAAAGGCTTGGGTGACCTGTTCCACGCAGGTTCCTTTTCCACGTCGACTTCGATGGGTGCAAGATCGATCTCTTCTTGTAATTAACTTCTGTTGAGTTTGCTCGTTTGGATATCAACTTTTCCTCTTCTGATCGTCTCCTGATCTGCTCTGACAAAGTTCTTCTTCCGCCTGTTTGAGCTTGATCTGAGACCATAGTTCGTTGGGGGCATTTGGTAACAGCTTTAGTATTAGGACATCTTAATACCTTTTCTGCACTGAGCCCAGTGCAGCTACCGGCGGCTTTTCTAGATTCGGCTCTGGTGGCATGTCCGGAGTTGCGGGAACATGCGTTGTACCTGTCCACAGTGGATGTAGCGAGGCGTCCCCCGCATTCTTGGGCACTCAGGGATACAACATTCTAGCCAATTGCTTGGATCTCCCTTCTCTGTCCATTACCGGCAAACTCTACACCTGCTCTCAATATCCTCCAATGCAGTAGGATAGTAACGCACCGACATGCGCGAACATGGTGTCACGAGAGAATGCAATAGATCTTCTGCAATCTATTTGCTTCGTTTGAGGTTTCTTCGTCCACAGCCTGATCGTTTGCCTTCCCTTCGACGTTCGACTCTGCAGTTTTGCGCCAAAAAGGCTCCGGTTTCACCACCACTTTTTCCAGTTCCTGAAAATGTGTCCAGCACCAAGCAATGTGAGAAAGCAAAGCAAACAGCATTAAGGTTCTCACTAACTCACCAGTTAGGGGGCCATCCTAACTGGTGAGCGTGGAGCCTTAAGTGCAGCGAGTGAGACAACAACATCAAAAAACAAATGTGAGCATTGCGGCATGATGCACTCTCTTTAGCTTGCGTGTTTGCCAGCCCCTACGCGTTTGCGTTCCTGCTTGTGTGCGTGTATGCCCGTGCGTGCGCTCTTCCTTGCAGCTTTTGCCTGGTTTTTCCTGGCTTGGCCTTGTTTGCTTGCTGCCTTGCTTGCTGGCCTGGCTTTCGCTGTGGCTTGGCTTCGATTCTGCCTTGAGCACCTTTTTGTGGGCAGACTTCCAAAGGGCAACAAAAAGAAACATTTTGTTTAAATTTAACGTGGTAACACTCAGAACCCAAGCGCACGATAAGAAACCCAAAGTGAAGGTGCCCCCACGCTTCAAAAGGCGCGCCCAAGGTGCAGTTTTTGATCCACGCACCTTGATAATTTGTTGTTGACGTTTTTGATCCACGCACATGCCCGGACCATCACTCAAAGCCCGAAAGCGGTGTAAGCGCAAGCAGGTTTAATATTTGCATCTTCAGTATGCGGCGAATACTGGTAGGTCCCACACAGACCAAGAACCCTGTCATCCTCAAACAACATGTTTTTCGTCGTATCAATTTTTTGGTAACTCGCCCAATCGTTTGTTTGCTTCACTTTCTTTGCTTGCCGTTTGCTTTGCTTGTTGCTTGCTTCGCTTGCTGCTTGCTTCGCTATCTTGGCTCGCTGCTTGCTTTTTGGCTGCTTGCTGTTTTTGCTTTCTTGCATCGCTTCCTTTCCTTCATTTGCTGGGCTATTTTAGGGTTTAAAATGATTTATATAAGATGCAATTGTTGATTGTGTTGATTGTTGCTTGTTGCTATGTATTTCTTCCCTCGTCCCTTCATTCACGCCTTCTCAACTTCCTTCTCCCCTTCCTTCCTTATTTGCTTGCGGTGTACTGATCCAGATAGGTTCCAAACACCAAAACGCTCACTCAGAACCTTCGCAGCAGAGAGCGTGAAGAGCCAGATCTACCAGTTAAAAAACAACAAGTGCATCTACATTCTAGAGGGCAGGATGTTTGCTGGAAGTGTTGTTTCACGCTGGAGTATATTCATCATGGTTTCTGCCTGGCACAAAGGCAGCTCCAGCGACTACGGTGGACACCGAGGCCTCACAGTTACCAATTGCCTGTCATGAGGTGTGTTGAAATTGATCCACTTTTTGAGGACTGAACAAACGAGCAAATTAGCTACTAGGAAGAAGCTACTAGGGGCTCCTGGCCTTACTAGAAACAAGAAACAAGGAGCAAGAACGCTACTAGGAGCAAAGGGCATCGCTACTAGGAGCAAGGACGCTACTAAGGGACCCTGTGAGGTCTCGGTGGCAAAAGCTCTTTACATTTTTGTTCATACCTGAACAAACGAGCAAATTCATAAGTTTCCTACACAGAACCAACAAACGAGAATAGTCGGTGTTGTTCCGAACACTGACCGCTGGACGACGCTTCAGATTCAAAGAATCACGCAAATGCATCATGTGCTGACCGCAGTTTATTTACAAACTCCAGGCTTGCTTACTGCTTTTGGGATACGTTCATAGCCCAGTCATGGCCGTGCCGGAGTTGAATACCTACGTAGGACTAGCAGTTGCTTGGGCCCATCAGTGTAGTACCTTTTTTGTGCCGCCTAAAGGACACCCCTTTGCAGATTTGTTCCCGATCGATGGGCTAGGTTGTATTGGGCGCTTTTGCTGCCTTGGTGGCCGTCTTGATTCAACAGTGGTGGCAAAATAAGCCGCTATTAGCCACAAAGTTCGAGGAGCCAACAGCTCTCCCCAAGGACTTTCACAGCGGCGCCAGAATCCTTGTGGCGAAAAGTCACGCTGAGTGGAGTTTCGCCCGCAAGACCTTTCGCTTTCTCGAAGTCTTTGTGAATATTGCTTGGGTCTTCGGCAGCATGGCGGTTCGGCCCTATGCATGGCTTCCAGTGGTGTTTATGGCCTATGCTTTACCTGCTTATTGTTTGGAATGGACAGTTTGCCAGCTGTGGGAGCAACCGGCATTGGCCTTCGCTTTGCATGGCCTACCTGCCGCAGTTGCACTCATTCGTATCGTGCTGCTGTTTGCTTTTACCCACATGGTCAGAGCAGAAGCGCTAGGATTGGGCATTCTGCGAAACCCCGATGGTTGGAAGATAGGCTACAGGATCGAGTGGTTGCAGGGGCAGAAAGTCCACTTTCCATGGCCCTTGTGCTTCTTGGAGGAATTGTTGCCTGAATCTTCGGGAGAGGGCGTGGTGGGTGGGTATTTCTTAATACGTACCGGTTGCTTCTTACTCTACGTTCTGATCCTTGCTTCCGTGGTTTGCTTCAACACTTACAAAGGGCTTGCTTCATATACAACGTCTGCGCAGGAGCGGGTTTTCACACAGAACATGATGCTCTAGTTTACAGGAAGTCGGTACCCATTTGTCCCCACTAGTGAGCTCCTCTTACTTTGAACAATTGTTCATCAGCAGCCCGCGTGCCAGGAGCAAGCCTTACAGGCTGAAGAGGAGAAGAGCTTGAAACAAAAAGAGAGGTCAGAGCAAGCTGCGATGGTGAAAGATCTTCGGATGGGCCGGGACTCTGCTGTAAAGCAAGAAACTGCATTCTGGATCTACTTCGATGCAGTCTTGGTGGTCTATGACATGATTTCAGACCTTGTGACGGTCTGGACCCTGCTTGCAGTGAAGAGATATGAATTAGCTTCCATGATGGTCTTCATATTCATCCGGAGTGTACTTCTTCAAGTTTCCTCAGGCAAACCCCGGACCTTCATCGCAGATGTGCAGGCGAGCGTCCACCGTGGAATCCGCCACCAAAACTTCTTAGATGCTTAGTTGAGTGGTTGAGTTTATCAACGCCTTTGATACGTGTTTGATCCTTTTTGACTCAGCTGTCACCCTAGAAGCTTGGGTCCTTGCACCGGCAACAAAGGATATTTTGCAAGAGGAGCGGGGGTTTGAGGCCCCCTTCAGCCTGATGTTGACCTCATACTCGTTGCTGGTTTGTGTCAATGATGTATCCTCAGCTCTCAGACAGAGTATCAGCATTCTCGTCTCCGCCTACGGTCTTGCAAACTTTATTTACATACAGCTCGACTTGAACCTGGTCGATGAGGAAGAGATCCAAAGAGCAGGGGTTCTTGAAAATGCAGTTGAAGAGGTCATACATGCTAGCAAGAGTTGCTAAGCGGAAAGAACTTCAGGTGATTGGGGCATCTATGGAAGTAGGGACTGACCGAATTGGAATGAATTGGATGTTGTTTTCCTATTACTCGTAGCATCCATTAGCCAGATTTGTGTTTCGGCAAGTCTTACCCAACCACAGAAAGGTGGAGCAAGCACGCTTGCCAATACCAGGGAATCAATCCCCGCAAATGTCCTCGGTCACATGTGGCAGAGGTCATTGGATTCCCCTGGCAAACTTGAGTGTCATGAATTGAAAGGTCCAAAGGGATTGGCTTCATTGACACTTTATGAGTTTCCTTTTGAGTTTGACCTGTCTCATTGTTTCTGACCCCAAGGTTGGAAGAGCTGGATCTTCGGCTCCGATCAAAGCAACTCACGCACGGGCCTCGTTCTGTTCAGCGAGGAATGAGGCAAGTGGCTTTTGCATAGCTTCGCCTATTTTGAGATGCCCGGATGTGCCAAATGCTATCCTCGGAACGTTTTTGTGAAAAAGTAACTATATATCTGGAAAAGCTGACAAGATGTTCAATGTCTTCGTCTCTTCCTGTTCGAGCAGTCTCAGCAACTGGGCAAGCACCTGCTCCTACGAGATCAGAGATCCGATCTCGGGTGACCCCATTGATTGACTGTGTGTACTTCGTTGAAGTCTGGAAGTTGGCTGAGTGTAATTGGAACTTGATATGGAGATGTGATGAGATATGCTTGATTGACAAGATTTCGACAGTCATAACAAACACGTTCTTTGCCGCGTGTCCTTGCAATTTAGGATTGGAGGTGTTGCAGGAGTTGGTCGACTCACAGTACGGTTGTGTCTAACCATGTTATTGATTGGGCAGCAAACTGGTAGGGTGTTTGGTGCAGAAAAGAATACCTTAGCAATGTGGGTTTTCGAACGGTTTCCCCAGTATGTCTACGAGACATTCCGAGACCAGATTTCAGCAAGTGAAACCAATACTGTCTTACGACAAAGCTTGAAAGACGAACATTGGACCCTGAGAAGCCACATGAGTTTCCTGAACTGAGCAAGCGGCAGAAAAGAGCAGATTATCGCTTGGTTTTGGCTAGCCTGCCTCTTTGGTGAAGATCTAGCCTGAGATGAACACGGCAAACTAGAACACTAGCCACGAAATGACATTCGACAAAATGCAGAGAGTATGACTGCAAGTATGACTGTAAAAGAGCTACCCGTTCTCAATTGCGACTGTCCATCACACCCTGAGATGCTCAGTGCACTTGTGATTCGCAGGTGTTTTGTGGCAGTGCCCGAGTACACGATGAATCTTTGCCTCGACCGGTGTTGCCTTTAGAAGGCTGATGAACTAGAAGTCCCAGCCTCAGTCTGTGAAAGGCATACGGAGTCTGAATGATGTCAGTCAGAATACATGTTTGCTCCCTTTAGAGACGATAATGATAAATCTAGCAAACTTTCGTGGATGATTTATACAAGAAACGGTTGTCCAAATTGGACACCGTTCAGTCGGCACTTGTTACTAGAAGCGATGCACTTGTTATTAGTAGCGTCCTTGTTACTACTAAGATAAAAGTGTCCTTGCCGTATATTGTGATGGATGTGTCAAGATCGTAAAGTCTCCTGAAGTACGATGAGCTGAGTCCTCGAAGTTGCTCAAGCGCAAGAGACAATCGTGAATCTAAGGAAGTTTGCGAGCAAGAATGCGACAGGCGAGGCAGTCTTCCTGTTTTGCAGCGAGAGGTTTTCAGATGTTTTCAGTGGTGGCATGTTCTGTTTGGTGGATACTTGTTTTCGAAGAAACTAGGTGGTTCTCCAGTATCTTGACAAACTTCCTGTTTCTTCGCGCGTCAAAAGGGACAGCTTTGGCTTCGATGTGGCATGTGCCTAGCAGGTGGCATAAGTGGACACTTCATTTCTGAATCCTCAAGTTCAGTGCTGTCCCAAAGTCTGATAGTCACTAGTCACAGAGGGCTGCCGACGAGGTTCGGATTTCCTTGATCCAGTGGTAGTTGGTATGCTGTTTGGAGGCTGGTTGTTGTGGACTCTGGCAGGATCTGACATGGGCCATTCTGCGGTGAGCAGCCGGGCCAGACCTGCTTGAAGAGCTGGAATGGAATTGCCGGATAGAACCGAAAGATTGCAAAGAGCGCGGCTGATTGCAGGGTTTGGTTCTTTACTGATCTTTGAATTTTGTGCTCCTCATTTTTCAGCCTCAGCACAATCCTTTTGTGATGATTTGGACCAAGAGTGAACCTGTGGCCTGCAGAGCAGATTCGCATCCGAAGTCCTTCAAGTCCTCAGTATTATTCCTCAGTATTTGTGATTCTCCTTTGCTTGTGCTTACCGTTGGGCTCCGGGCAGCAGCTGACATCGCCGACTTTGAGAATGACACCGGATGGAAAGCGGGAGGCACACGGAAGCAATATTCCGGCTCCGTGAATGTGGAGCCACCAATGGAAGCATACCAAGGAAGGCGCTATATTCATGTACCTGAATTCGGCTTCTGGCAATGCAGACCAGGCAAGCAACACAGAAATAGAGAATGACATGGAAACTCTCAACAGTTCTCGTCAAAGTCTTGCTGCTGGTTTTTTGACAAACGTAGAGCCATTTGCACAAGTCTTCATTTCAGAAGCGGGTTCCTACAAATACGTGGGCAAGTGGGAAACTTGTACCGCCCTTCACCCACGCACATGCACAGCTTGCACACTGGCTTTAGTTGAAGACAGCTGGCTCTAAGGTGGGTCACTTTGCCTATTTGTGTCCTAGTGGCCCAGACAGCGGGCTTCAGTCGCTTGCAAGAGTACAGGGCATATACGGTGGTTATCCCAGCCTGTTTGTTGAATTTGGTTGATCTAGTAAGATGCAATAGGTGCTGCCGGAGAGAGTCCAGATTTGCAAAGAAGTTGTTTGATTCGGATGAATGAAGAGGCATCACGTTTTTGAAACGGCAGTTTGCAGAGTAAATCTCACTCAATTTGACTGGCTTTAGCAGTATGCTTGTCAATCACTGCATTCCTTGTTCAAGCTCTCAAGGATTAGTTTTGGGCATCGCATGGCCCTGCTTGCATTGGCAACTGCATATTGCGAGTCGGTGATAGCTAGTATAATTCAATGCTTGGCAAGAGCCCCAAGGCCCCAAGCAAATGCCACATTTGCTTCTAGAGAATGGCTTGAGAATAGCAGCTTCCGCATCATTGACTCTTGCAGTTTTGGCACGGCTGAGCATCGCCATTTTGGGAAAAGCCGGGTACTTTCCAGATTCTTTCCTCGGAGAGCTCGTGGTTCCATTCCCTGCCCCACCGAAGTCTTGGACCTCCAGTCTGGTAGCCGTGGCAAATCCGCCTTTATCGATTGTGGTTTGAGAGCAGTCACGACCTTTTCGCAGTTCCATGTTGTGTTGCTCCGCGGGCCCAAAGGTTTGCTTACAAGACAGACTTGGAGCGTCCAGTTTTCGCATGGTTTGGCTAGAAATGCCAACTACGCATTCAAATTCAAGAGGAAACTTAAGAGGAATTGGCTCGCAGACATCCCTGCTAGCAGCCTTGCACTCCTTTCGATCCACATTGAGAAAGCCTGTTCTCGCATCGAATGCTTGGCCAGCAGCTCTCAGATTTCGCTTGTTGAGCACGTAGTGAAAGGACCGAATGCGTGTGCAGATTGGGCCGCACTCTTCAAAGGGCGTGAGGTCACACTTGCTTTGCCGTGCCCTGCAGTGGTATCCAGACCTAGCTAGGCAAGCAAAACGTAAAAAGTTTTCGACCTCCAAAGCCTGTGTTGGAGACGATGAAATGCCATCCGAAACGAGTCGCACTTGTGAGTGTCTCAACATAAAAACCTGCGCAATCCTTTGCGGCAATTGTCGTTCTATTTTCAGGTCTCAAGAGGGAGTGTTAGTAGTCAATTTTTAAATGTGCACTACATGGTGTTGATTCACAAGTTGAGTGTGCCCAAGATCGTTGGCGGAATTGCCAAACTGCCGAACTGCCAATTGCCACTTGATTCGTGCCTTTTCTGTTGCTCGACTTCAGCGTAGGTCATTTGAACGTGTGAAGTTGCAGCTTTTTGGTGGAAACCTTACATCTCAGTTCCACGAAAATGCGTGCTTTGCTGCTTAGCCCTGAGTCTGGAGTGGGAAACGCATGCTTTCTCCATAGTGTGGAAGCGGAATGCGGATTTGAAGAGAGAACGCTCATGTGGCGATTCCACAAGGCACTCGTGCTTCAATATACTGCGTTGACAGGAGATATAGATGGGGTGGGAGTTTGGAATGCCCCCACAAGGCCGTGTACAGTGTTACCCTGGTTTGAAGTTTTGCGGTCCGTTGCATGTTTGCACGCCTACAGACAGCATAGATGACCATGGCATACCATGGCTAGTTTCAAGAATTGTCGCAGATATATGTTTTTCGCTCTGGTGAATCGACAGCTTGCAAGGTGCGCTCAAGCCCAAAAGCACCGTGGTTCGGGTTGATGCAGGCGGTTCAGACAGGCTGCGCAGTTGGACCTTCACTGGTGACGTTTCAAGCTTTTAGTCTTGGAAGCATTTCGGGACGGAAAAGGCTGCCGCTTCAAACATGCTGGTGACATTCGCGCACCATGGTCCAGATCTTTAACATAGATACGGACGAAGAGCATGACGACAGCCTGTCGGAAGCAACTGATCCAGAAGAAGCTTTTGCCGCTCAAGGCACGCGTCATCGCCATCAGCAAGGAAGGTCCTCGAGTTCGACATACCGGACGTACGAGGCACAGCCATCAGCAGGTGTCAAGATGACGCCAAAGATTCCTCCGTCATTCGATGGACAGTCATCCTGGTTCGAGTTTGAAGATTTGATTGATGATTGGGTGAACATCACCACATTAAGCGCCGAAAAAATAGGCCCATCATTGAAGAACGCTCTAACCGGAAACGCCGAATACTACAAAAAGATGCTCGACAATGAACAGCTTCGTCGTGAAAGAAACGGTATTACGTATTTCAAGGAGACGTTGCGCCCATACTTTGTCAAAGGAGCAAATCATGTTTTTCTTTGGCGTTTCATGCAGCTCTTCAGGACCTGGCGCGGAAACGGGGAATTTGTCAGCTGGATCGCTCGTTTTGAAGTCGCTAGCAAGAAAGTCATGGAAGCTTTCATGGGCTTGTTAGATCTTTCGACTGTTCCACAGCCTGATGATTTCAACTTTACTGATATCCTCTCGCAACAGCAGTACATGCTACTTCAAGGACTCCAAGATCCCGCAGAAAGAAGAGAAGCTGCAGAAAGAATCCGTTCTGAACACATTGATGCCTTGAAACAAGCACATCGTGACACCTTCCCATTGTCTGACAACCTGATGTCACTTATTTTCTTAGTTCAGTCGGATCTCAATGAACAGCAAAGAGAAAGGTTTGTAGCCAGCATGGCCTTGCGTCAGATCAACATGAACAACTACACATACTTAGGTGTCAAAGGCTTATTCCTTGATCTCTTTTGCGGAACCGCCACAGGAACTGCCGATCCTTCG